TAAACAATTAACACTGACACGCGCCTCCGCCGTCGCGGCCGCCCTCTCTTCCGGCGCTGAGCGCCTGCGCCGACAGCACGGGGTTGGGCTTGTGCTGGACGCCCGACTCGGCGGCGTTCAGGTCGAGGGAGCCGTCCTGGATGTTCTGGAAGATGCGCTTGGCCGTCTCCAAGAACGCCTCCTCCACGCCGTCGCCCGTCTTGGCGCTCGTCTCCAAAAACGTGAGTCCGTTCTCGTCGGCGAACGCCTTCGCCTCGTCGTACGTGACGTCGCGCTGGGCGTCCAGATCGCACTTATTGCCGATCAGGAAGATGACCGTGTTGGGATTGGTCAGGTTGCGCGCGTCCGTCAGCCACGAGCTCAGGTGGTTGTAGGTGGAGCGCCGCCTGGGGAGTGAAAGCACAGTTAGTGCACGCAGAGGGTGTGTGGCGCTTACGTCATGTCGTAGACCATGAGCGCGCCCGCGGCGCCCCTGTAGTAGGAGCGCGTCACGGCTCGGAAGCGTTCCTATGGAGACAGAGTGTCAACAGTGGCTGTGATTGCGATTGGCTCACCTGTCCGGCCGTGTCCCAGATCTGCAGCTTGATCTTCTGGCCGCACACCTCGATGATGCGCGTGCCGAACTCGACGCCGATTCTGCGCAGAGAGACGACAATTAGAGGGGTAGGCATAGAGGGGCAGAGATACAGACGTGTGCGGACAGTCGGCCATAACTGCGGAGAGCGAGGAGAGATTAGTCATTGTTGTCAGACATGGATTGTGATTGGCTTACACTTCTTCTCGGTGAACTGGTGGAGCAGACAGCTCTTGCCGACGCCCATGTCGCCGATGATGATGTACTTGAAGATGTAGGAGTAGTTGTAGGGACCCGACGCCGAGGCCATTGCAGGGGAGTTGTTGTCGCGAGCAATGTCTGCCAATCAATGACTCAATAAATGCAATAAATTACGTCTCTTTATTCAGAACTCGAGTTTGCGATACTTTTTGCGTTTTACAGAAACCGAGTCTTTATATAGGAGGGGATCGAAGCGCACGCGACTCTCAATCAATGGCAGATAGCCGAACAATGTCTGCAGTTTCCGGAAACAGGACTTGCGGTCGCGGAACTCCTGCCACGAGAGCGTCGCGTTGGAACTCGTCTTCCGTTGCGTCACTTTTATCGCGCCTGAAATCAGAACAAGAGTTTGACTCGAATTCAGTGTTAATCATTGGTTACCTTCTCGTGTCACGTGACTCACGAGGAATGCTAAAGAAAATGAGAGAATGAGAAAAACGCGAACATTTCGGGCAAAACTCACAGAACGCGAAATCCACGCATTCTTCGTCTTCTGTCGCGAGAAACGAGTCATTGTTGGCGAAAAAGTCGGAAAACAAGTGATTGAAAGCTCTGAAAGAGAGAACAATGATTAGAGAGCGCGTGACGGCGACAATAGGCATACTTGTGGTAGAAGGCGGAGTCTGTGAGCACGAGAGAGTAGCGATTGGTCCATTTGGACGAGTACTCGAACGCGCCGTCCGCCCAGAAGTGGTCACGTGCCGCGAAGCCGACCACGCGCTGGGGAAACGCGCGCCAAACACTGAATCCGAACTCGAGCTCTTGGGAGGAAAGCAGCGAATGAGCGGAGAGTTGGAGCACGCACTCAGTGTCCAGAGTGTGAGGGCGGAAGCGCGCGCCGGCAGAGTCGCGCTCCACCACGCGCACCAGTCGCGAGTCCAGTTCGGGAAGTTTTACGCCTTTCTTCGCGACCAACAGCACGCGAGAGACGAGCGGCGAGGCGGAGAGCACGCGCGTCAACAATCGGTGCAGATTGCTCGTGACGTCATTCGCGTCCTTCACGTCAACAATGACGGTGAACGCGCGCGAAGTGCCGTTCGGCTCTTCGGCCAACAGCTGCGCGACGAGCGGGTCGCGAACGCCGAGCTGTGATTGGCCGACCACTACGGCCATGGTGGGCGTGGCCAGGTTCCACTGCGTTCTTGGGGGCGCGCGCTGCGGATGAATGCGACTCTCGATGACGAGGAGTGACGTCAGAACGATGCGCTCCACGGAAGAGAAGTACGTGTCGTAAAGCGCGAGACACTTGGCTCTCATTGTTGCGACGGTTTGGCGCGAGATTTGACGCAAGGTTTCGGGGATTTGGAAGAGGAGGCGCTCGTCGGCGATCACAGCGCAGTCGCGCCATTGGATGATCTCGTGGAAGGGGAGGAGCCACTCGTTGGCCAACACCACCGGCACGCACCCCGCCTGCAGCGCCTCCAGGAAGCGGTAGGAGCCGAGGCGGCGCCCCCTGGGCACCAGACAGAAGGTGGCGTTGCGCATGAGCGCGCGGTAGTCGTGGTCGTCGTAGCGCTGGTCGTCGCGGTCGCAGTCGGCGTCCTTCACGCTCTTCTTGCCGTGTTTGCAAGTGGTGAGGATGATGACGTCACGGCCGTTGTGCAGGAAGTGCAGCGAATTGCGCGTCTCGCTCCCGATGCCATACGTGTAGCGCTTGCCCTTGAACACCAACAGGTACTGACCGCTCGTGGCGGCCGCGGGGGCGGAGGGGCGCTGCTCGGCCACGAAGGGCGGCCCCCGCGTCACGTGGTTGCGCGCGAAGAGGGGGAGGGCGACGTCGAAGCCGTGGCGATAGGAGGCGCGCGATTGGCTGGCTTTGATGAGGAGGGCGTTGCGCAGCAGTTGCGAGATTGGGCCGTAATTGTGGCCGAAGGCGAAGTCGAGCTCGCGATACGAAGGCCACGAACCCGAGTAGAGGTTGAAGAGGATGTGGTTTCTGCCCCCGAATAGAGGTCTGAAGGAGAGCATCGCGGCGTTCGGTTTCTATGGGAACACAAGTTAGCGATTGTTTGCATTCGTTGCTATGGAGACCTGGAAGTCGAGGGAAAGCGGGTCGCGATCCAAAGTGTCCCAAATTGTGGTCAAAAAAACGCACGCTTTTGGAGGAACACATTGTTAGACATTGTTTTCAATTGTTTTCGAAACCTTTTTTCGCGTCCTTTTCGTAATATTTCGAGCTTTTGATGATTTCTACGATTTTGGCGAAAATGGGATTCAATTTGAGTCCAAATTCGGGATAAATATGAACTTTGAGTCCATTTTCGTGACATTTATTCAAATCGAAACACGATTCCATTCGACACTCGCTTCCCATTGAGTTCTCCTCGTATTCGCCGTCGAAGTCAAAGGAGTAGTAATGGCCGCCACTCGTCGTCGCGTTCGCCGATTGACGCCATTGTCGGCGAACGCCATTCCACGCGAAGAAAAGGATCGCGAAGAACGCGACGACAATGAGGAGAAAGCGCTTTCGGGCTTTCATTCCCACAACAATAACAACAACAGAGACGAGAGCGACATCTCGTGGTTTGAAATCAAGTTTTATTCAGAATTAAAGAAATTTTTCCATTTTTTTGTGTATTGTCTTCGGCGCGCGCTCAGTCCTTCTTCGCGGCCATCTCCTTCGCGTGGTGCGCCTGCAGCACCGCCACCGCCTCGTCCACTTTGGCCTTGAGCGACTGGCCGTGCTCCAACATGTGCAACAACTCCGAGTTGTCGATCTCCAACAGCATTCCCGTGATCTTTCCCGCCAAATCCGGATGCATGGCCGAGATGACGGGGAAGAGGCGCTCGCCTAAGAGAGAACAGGTGTTAGTGCGGAACAGAACGTGACGTCACGACTCGTACCCAGCATCTGCTTCTGCTCCTGAGGACTCGCTTCGGCCAACATCTGAGTGGTCAGCGGCTCCTGGCCCGGCACACTAATGCCCGCCTGGGGGAAGCGCTGCGGCTGGAACTTGGTCGGCTGGAACGACGCCCGCGGCTGCGACGGCGCCCTCGGCGCGCCTCTGCCGCCCGGCGCTCCCATCTGTCGTGGCATTGGCGCGCGCTGTGGAACCTGTCCTCCGATTCCGCCGCGCGGCCTATAGCCCGACTGATACGAAGGGGCGGCTCTTCCGACGCCAGGGTTCGGTTGTTGCCATCGCGGCCGCTGATTGGCTCCCTGTTGGCCAGCGGCGCCCGTCTGATAGTAAGGGCGCGCGTTCATCTGGTGCGGGATTGTTGGAATGAAATAGCCTTGGCCCGCGTGTCCGC